TCTAACACTACACTAATAACATTTAGGATGAGTTTGGATTTTGCTAATGATACGAGTACATTATATCTAACACTGCAAGTGGGTGGTCACATTTTGGTGTGAAAAGTATGACTTGAATAGTTGCACGATTACTTGTATCAGGTTACCACTTCAGTGGTACATGTATCAATTCATTGGTATATGTACCAGATTAGTGGTACAGGTTCACGGCAGTGTTGTCGTTTGCCGTACGCTATAGGGTTGCACTTCACAACAGGGAGCGACAAAAAACGACGTGTGGTTCAAAGGAAAGAAAGGCTATACTTGATTTCCCTTGGTTTAGACTTCCCACTAACTTCATGTTTATTTGTTGCATTGGCTGGATATTTTATTATTGTTGGCATTTTTCTTTTTTGATAACACATTCTACTCCACGATTAGTAGTGATACTAATGGAAAGTTGCTGGGTTGTTTACGTATCGAATTGGTTGTACATATATCTGTTCTGTGGTACGTGTATCTGTTTAGTGGTACATGTATCAGTTCATTGGTATATCAGTTCAGTGATACATGTATCACTTCAATGGTACCACTCTAAAGTCTATCTATCACTGAAATGGGAACATTTAGGATGAGTTTCGATTTTGTACAGGTGCAATATATCTAACACTACAAGTGGATGGTCACATTTTGGTGTGGAAAGTACGCTTGAATAGTTGCCATGGTACTTGTACCAGATCAGTGGTAGTTGTACCAGATCAGTGGTACATGCTCACGGGAGTGTCGCCGTCTCCCAGACTTTGTAGGGTTGCACTTCACGACAAGGAGCAGTAAGAAACGATCTGTCCCCGTCATTCATGTTCTTCTTCATCTCCGACGGGTTCTCCGCCGACGAGAAACCCCCAGGTGTTCTTCTTCACTTTCTTCTTCATCTCCGCCGCGACCTTCATGTTCTTCTTCATCCCCTGTGTCTCGTCCTTCGGTGAAGAGCAACCCACCAGGCAGGTCGAAGGCGATCCCACCGTCGGCGAGCAACTCGATGGTTTCCGGCCGCCATCGATTTATGCAGAGGAGAGGGCCACCGTCAAGTTCTGCAGAGGAGAGGGATGAGTTGCTATTTTTTCGGGAGGGAATATGGGAGCTGAAAAGGCAGTTTCCCCCTTCAACATTTTTTTCCTTCCCCATTCATAATTATTATCACAATTAAGACTTTTTCAATTTACAAGATTACAAAAAATAAAATAAAAAGCAACTTTCATTAATACAACTTACCAAATGATTAAATGGAAAGTGACCAATCAAGAAGAGGGTGTCAAAAAATAGACCCTTTAAGGGGTTAGCATAGTATCCCACCTGGGGTAAGTTACTGTTGGTTGGTTGTCATTAGGGCTGTTAATGTCGAGCTATTCGTGAGCGGCTCGGTGTTCAACTCGATAAAAACTCGTTCGATTAAAAAAAAGCTCGGCTCATTAATAAACGGGTCGAGTTTGAGCTCTACCTTGTTCGGCTCGTGAAGCTTGTAAACTAGCTCAATTAGGTGGCTCGTTGAATACAACTCATGAGCTGTCTCGTTTTGAGCTTATGAGATGTCCCAACATTGTGACTAGAGAGCCAACTCGATTGCAGCTTATGAGAAAATCGATCTATATTTTATGAGTTGGTTTGTTAATGATGCATATAATTATTAAATTGTATATATCACCTCATATGGTGTTTAATACATTGAGTATATGTGAGCAAATACGTCTCATTTATGACATAACATTAGGTAATCACATGTGTAAGATATGATATATAAATGTAAGGGCATTTATATTATAAATTATCTTAGAGTTGAACTCCAGTCGAACTTTCAACCTTAATGATGTGTCATTATTTAATAAATGAGCTGGCTCGTGTTTGACTCAGCTCAACTCCTTTATAAACGAGCCGAACATGAACAAGAAAAATCTCTGCTCGGCTCAGTTCATTAACAACCCTAGTGCCGTTAAATAATTGTTGCTAAAATTTCGGATAACCGTCGCTAAAATACGGTTTTGGTGTAGTGAAATTCCGAGTTCATTTGATGTGGCCGACTTGCAAATTATGAGTTGCTCGCTTTATCCATTCAGCCATGAATGCTTAGTAGGGATCCTTGTACTGTTGTACATGGTCCATTTTAAATTGTGTGTTCCCTTTCTCTTTCCATATTTGGGGAGAGAGCTTACCAGAATCTATGGGTAGCTGACATGATTCTTTTGTGTTTGCACAAATTTTTCAGGCATGTTGTTAGATTATTTTTCAGCTCGTTTACGACTATTCAACGGACCATAATTTATTCGTTTTACATTGGATTCAAAAAGATTTGCGTAGAAATATCAGATTTTTTATACTCTGCAAATTGACAACCATTTGAATTTTTTTGAATAAAAAATGCACATGTTATCTTGCCACAGTAGTAAAATCATGATAGTTACAGCAAACACATGTTTGTTTCTCAATGATATCATAGTGGTAGATCATGGTATAAAAATGATGAGATGAAATTATGAAGCCATAGGTATTATGTTGGTATGACACTAATAAGATAGAATGATATTGTGATAATTTCATGATATCACAGTAATATATAATGTTGTGTGTCTTACCACAAAATGAATATCCTTGTGTATATAATAATTAATTAGTTTTTTATACAATTATTTTATTTTATTTTTTAGTTAAAATGAAAGAGATATGTTATCATATCACTATCATATCTTGATAATATAATAGCGATAATACAACAACCAACACGTATGTTAAAGAGTTAGATTTTTCTTTAGTAAAAATACATCAAAATGAATATTAATTAATGCATTCCTTCTAGGCTTTTTTTAAAAATTATAAGTTAAAAATGAAGGAGATATAACTCGATTAAGAAAATTGAAGATCATGATACTAGTCAAAATTCTCTTTTCTCTCCTCTGGTTTTCGTGTCAAAGGGAGAAAATTACTCCAATACCCATACATGTCATAGTGTTTAATTTGAACCAATTTATGATGAAGATGATAAACGAATAATACGTATATTTTTTTTATAGCGAGTATAGTATATGATTTTGTATCCTAACCCTTTCTATAAATACTTTTATGATCAAATTGAAAGGTTCATATTCCCCTTTTCTCCGGATGAACCCTTAATTGAATCCGCAATCAAATGGTTGACGAAGCACCTATTGACTACAACAATAAACACGACTTAACTGGGGATTATTACTTATATATATACACACAATTAAACACGTATCTTTCATATTAATCCTTGGGAACTATATATACGGTAAGCTTTATAGCTCCACTTCTACATATTGAAATTCTTATTTATTTTCAAGGCTACAAGTAATCACCAATATGAAGACGCAATCAAGTAATGCCCTCTTGATCTTTCTGCTTCTCCTCCTTATTTCTGGTAATAAGAATTTTTAACTCTCTCTCTCTCTTTCAAGTTTCATACATCCAATGCACTAAAAACGCGATTCTATGTAGAAGCGTTCTAGTGACATTTAGTTGTGCAAAACTGTAAGATTTTAAGTTTTAAAGCGTAGATTTTGACTACAATTGTAAGGATAAGTGTGATTTTATGTGGAAGTGCGTTAATAAATTAGAAGCGTAAAAATGTAAACTTTTAAGTTTTAAAACGCGATTTTAACTGCATTGCATTGCATGCATCTACCATTAATTCAAGTTCCAGTAAGCTTAAGATGAACAACTAACCTGCAGCATCTTTTGTTCCAAAGGAAATTGTTGGGGAAGGCAATTGAGCAGAGACGACGGATCGGTACTCGCTTTCTGTTGGAAAACAACCATAGAAATGGGAGAATGTATATATGATAAATGCCAAATGAAATGTGAAAGAATGCTTGGAACGGCTGCTGTTGCTGACTGTCGTTTGGCAACCATCATATGTGACTGTTATTTGCAATGTTAAGATCATCATAATCAACACATATATTTTGTGATCGATGTTTTTGAATAACTTTTTTTTCCATATATATATATATATATATAAACTAGTTTGTAATAAGGATAGAAATGCTATAGGCGCTATGTATTGTGATTGAAGTTATTGAAATTGCTATTTGAATATAAATTTAATCAATAATGAAAATGGCAGTTCTTGTGAGATGAGAATTTGTACGGGTATTCCTTTATGGAATTCATGTTGTTGGAACAAATCCGAAAGTTTTGGAAGTGATTTCCCTTTTTCGTATTTGGAAGAGGACGACACTGAATTGTTACAAGTACTTTTAAGTATTATCCTTTTATAACGAAAGCAATGGCAATAGAGGCCTTTAGTAGTTACGGCGTCTCCATTGATGCAAATTCATTTGCAATTGTAGTTTGTTGTTTTTTTACACAACACCATTTTTGCAAGTCAACTCATATTACTTTCATTGCACTACATCAATGCAATTGCCTTGCAATTGCAATTAATTTTTTTAATTTTTTTTTATTGAAGGGAGGCAAGCGCCAAAGAATTACAAACTCCTAACCGCTAGGAGTAGAACACAAATTTGAATAATTTAATAATAAAAAAAGATGACATGGCTTGCATCTCATAATTGCATTATATGCAAGCTTGCAAAGATGCAATTGTCATCTACATCAATGCAATTGCATAATGCAATTGCAAATGAATGCCATGTCATAATGCAATTCTAAATGAAATTCAAATGGAGATGTTCTAAAGCCAGCCAATCAGTAGTAGTGCTCATACTTTTGGGACGGCAGTAATGGTCTTCGATCACAGATTTTATATCATCCACTAAATGGGCTCTAGGTGTTACAATTTTATAGTTTTATTCTCCAGGTTAATAAGTATCAATTACGTGGTTCGAATCCCCACCATCCCATTTAACATTAGAGGGCTCTGAAATTCTCTCGGCTTCCTTGAACCCTATCCTACTCCGGCGATATCACTTCCGCAGGTCGGGAGACCGCCTGACCATGTTCCCCAAATAGCCTCTCCGATGATAGGCACGCCCACTCCATCCCTCCAAATGGTCCCGCAATCTTACAAGAACGTGTTGGCGGGGATTTCACAGAACAACTCGACCAAGGCTAATCAATGGACTTTTGTTGGGGAACAAGATCTGGTGGCTGGTTCTTTTGGAGGCGAACCTGAACTCAAAATCTCAGAGAAGTTCAAAGAACGGCTTTGTGATCCTTGGAAGAGAACCCTGGTGGTTCGGATTCTTGGCAGGTCAGTCTCTTATGCTTATCTCTGCTCATAGTTGAGATGGAAATGGCGGCCACTAGGCTCGATGGATATCATGGATCTAAACAATGACACTTTCCTCGTTACCTTTGGAGACGAACAAGATTATCTCTGGGCTCTTACCGGGGGACCATGGGTCATACTAGACCACTATCTCATTGTTCATCAGTGGTCTCCAAATTTTCGTACAGATAGCAAGCCCCACCTTTCAGTGGTATCGTCGGTTCTATTTCCGGAACTGCCTGTACACTTCTATCATAGAGAGGTTCTCTTTGCTTTGGGTAATCTGGTCGGCAGAACAGTCAAAATTGAATACCATACAAAAACGCTGCAACGAGGAAAGTTCGCTCGGCTTGCGATTGAGCTTGACATGACAAAGCCACTGCCCACTCGAGTCCGCTTGGATGGATTTTGGCAACCAATCGTCTATGAGAATCTTCCACACATTTGTTTTAAATGTGGGTGGATCGTTCATTTGGTGGAATCATGTCCGAAAACTACTCCTGTCCTACAGCAAGCAATCATCCTCCATCCAAACTCAGACGCAGCTCAGGTGCCGCCGGTGACCGACTCGCCGGAACCTCCCTCGGGATACGGCCCGTGGATGCAAGTGATTCGTAAATCTCGCAAACATTCCAAAAAAGATGCAGTCAATCAAGGAAATCAGGCAAACCTTCCTTCAATAGTAGGCACTAATTCGGGTCGTGCCTCCGCCAAATCTGGGGGAAAAGGGAAAGTCGAATCCCAAAAGACAACGGCTGCAATGGAAACAAAAGGAAAGAAGGATTTGGCGATGGGAAGTAAAAAGGGAAACTCCAACAGTCATAAAGGAAAAGCTCCAGCCACGGAAAGATTGACTATAAATGGCGAGCATACTGAAAACCTCATTCAAGAATGGAGACCAGTGGACTCTAAGGAGGCCTCTTCCAGTAAAGCCCAAACCAAGAGTGCGACAGCCCATACTTCGGTTCAGTCTTCCCCTTCTGCGACTAATAGTCAGGGAGCCCAACTGATCTTGGGCCCGAACAATACTAAGATTCATGTGCTATCTGTTCCAGACCTCCAGACGAATCTAAAGGATAACACTGACCCAAACTCAAACTCCTCGTCTATTCGTCAATGTTATCGAAAGAAGCAACAAGATCAGGCTCCGGTTCCAGATAAGATGATAGACCGATAATTACACATATTTTCACCCCTATTCTTGAGCCGTTTGAGAGGTTGACTCTCGGGTTTTAAGCCGATTTCACGCGAGGTTGTGTGTTTATGTCATATTTCAGGACCCGGCGTTGGAATCGAGGCGAAGGAACGAGATTCGGGTCGAAGGAGCAAGCGAGGATTGAAGTGGGCTGGAGGAAAAAAATACCCGGCCATGACCACAAATACCCGGCCGGGTATTATTCTGAGGAGACCGGGGATTTTCCCTTTTGGCGTCTGAGAAACAGGGGGGGTCCCGGTCTGGAAGGCAGAAATCCCCGACCGGGGATTATTGAAGGAGACCGGTTATTATTCCCCTGGCCAAAACGCGCGTTTCAACTATACCCGGTCGTGACCCAAAATACCCGACCGGGTATCGCGACAGGCAGCTGTTTTAAGGGAAAAGAAGGCTGAAAATCAAGGGATTCGAGTTTTAGGGAGATAGAACGATTCCTAGAGAGAGAAAGCGACGAACAAGAGTCTCCAAGTGCCCTAGCTTGATCTTCAACACCATTGGAGGCCAGTTTGAGCTTGGAGAAGTGCCCATCAACGTCCAGAAGCAGGAATCCATCCTTGACTCGCTAAAACACAACACCTAACAATGGCCAAGTGTAACCAATGGAAGGGACTGCAGTATAGTGGCTCAAGTGATAAATATCGAATCCACGGGTCTCTAGAGTTACTATTACTCAGCTTCAGTTTATTATTTAGCAAACCAGATTAAGATGAAAGAACTAAAATTACTCTAGCAAACTACAGTTAAAGTTAATCTAATTACAGGTTGGGAACTCACTTAGGTATGATTCCCCCTAGCCACTAGCCAGACAAACAATTGATGATTTCCAACTTGTTTCACTTTCATTCACAATGCGGAGAATCCTTGACTAGACCTTGAGTCTCGACTAAAGGAACAAGGCCCTCTCGAGTCAATTGCCTAGAGGGACGTATCCTTCTCTAGAACAACTGATCAAGGCGTTCTGAACTAGACTCCCTCTATCGAAAGAGGTTCTCAATCGATACAAAGCAGTGAATCAACCCTCGACTAAAGCAATCGATCCACTACTATCAATCTATGGTGCTCTATTGACCTAATCAGGTATTCCCTCTCATAGGATCAAAGCAGAATCAATAATCTTGACTAAAGCAGAATTGAATCATGAAAACATGCATAGATTGAATATGAACTCAAGATTATCAAGTCAGAGTAATCATACAATCATCCAATCAAACAAACATAGCTAGGGTTCCTCAAAACCTAAGTGAAGGGAAGTTAATCCATAGAGAAGAGAGAGACTGCAGTAAGAATCTTCAGATGATCAGTCTTCAAGTCCGGGCTTGTTCCTCGAGCTTCCAAGGCAAAGAAATCCTCCAATTCCACTCCAAGAATGCCCTCAAATCGCCCTCTCTCTCTTTGGTTCGTCCCTTGGGTGTTTGGGATCCAAAACCCAGCTCTCCCCTTGCAAAAACACACAAAACAGGCTTTTAACAGCCTGCGTTCGCGATCCCTGGTCAAAATACCCGGTAGGGTATTTTAGGTCACGACAGGGGATTTTTGGTTCACGACCGGGGATTTTTGGGTCACGACCGGGGATTTTGGTTCACGGCCGGGGATTTTAGTGTCACGATAGGGCCCCCTTCTGTTTCTCAGAGAAGCCCGAAACCAATTTTCCCCTATCTTTGATTCTTCGTTTCTCCCTCGTTCGGACTCCAAATCAGGTGCCGTTTGATCCCAGATGCTCGTATTCTCGTCCTCTTTCTTCTCATGACAAGATTACATGATTATATGGTCACAAACTGAGGTAGAAATCCCTTCTTCTTCAAGTCATACCCGAGTTTCTTCCCCCGAGTCGCCAATTGATCTCCGATTGACTTGAAACTTGCGCCTACGCTTCACTTTATGTGCTAGGACCTGAAATGTGACAAAGGAACACAACCTAGCGTAAAATAGGCCAAAGTAGCAATAATGCAAGCTTAAACGATCAAGAAACATAAGGGAAAACATGTGCAAATATCGAGTCATCAATCCTTCATAGTATGAATTCCGCGTCTGATTCTGCTTTTGCTTCTTTCTCCATGGAGTAGTTCTCCCATTCATCTGGGTATGGAGAACCCTAGATTTGTATGTTAGGTTTGATTGTATGAACCCAAGTACTGATTCTATGATTTGATTATATTCGATTGAGGTTTGAATGATTGAATGACTTGAATCCTGATCATATTCCTGTTGTTTCTGCTTTAACCTAGAATGAGAATATCTGCCTAGGTTAATAGAGCATCCTTGATTGAAGGTAGGGAGTTGGTGACTTTAGTCGAGGAGCCAACTCACTATTCTGTACCGGATTCACTTCGGTAGTGGAGGTTTTGTTTGTTAAGGCTTCAATCTTTTTACTCAGGTGGAGGTTAGTCGCCCGCTAGAGACTCAGATTGAGAGGGTCTGAAGACCTTTAGTCGAGACTTCAGGCTGTTTAAGAACCTTCCGCAGTATAACTATCATAGAAACTGAACTTTGGTAATTGCAATCCGGCTTAACTGCAGTCTAGGGGGAACCATATCCGGGTGACCTCTCTTAACCTGAATACAACCGTTTACTTGCTTTGTTAGTTTATTAATTTAGACTTGCATTAAAGTTTCATTGCTAGATAACAAGAATTCACTGAGTAGTCATCAAATCTAGGACCCGGGTTGATAATTAAACCCAAACCCGCTATACTACGCTTTAGGAAGTGGTTTCACTTGGCCAATTCCTGGAGTGACAGTAGAAGTGAGTCAAGTTTTTGGCGTCGTTGCCGAGGACGGCTAGGTTGTTGAAGAAAAGTGATTTCTGTTAATTTAGCTTTTCTTTTCGCTTTGTTTGCTTTGTCCCACTTGTGCCTTCACGGGTTTGCTAGCTTGATTGTGTGCAGGTAGTGCATGACCCGTAGCCAGTCGGGAGGTTTACTGTCGTTGAATCCAGAGATTGACTGCACCTGTCGCCAACTCAGGAGACAACATCGAGCTAGACTGGCTACGGAAGAGCGCATAGACGGCCACCTGAGTAGCGATTCTGAAGAAGAGTACGGGATGGACGGAGACTACAATCAACACCAGGGGAATCCTCAGCAGGCTCCCCCGGTGAATCAGGTCCTGGGGAACAACCCCATACCCCAGGATCATGGGGTTCATCATCAGCACCCGCCGCCGGGTCCCACCTTGGAGTACTACTACACTCCGCGGATTGCTGACATCCGCCCGGTCATCCTCTACCCGCCTATCCCAGCAAACCACTTCGAGATCAAGCCATGCTGGATTCAGCTCATTACATCCTCTATCCAGTTCCATGGCTTGAAGGATGAGGAGGCCAGGGTGCATCTTTCTCGTTTTCTGCAGCTGACGAACGGGTTCAAGCTGAATGGTGTCCCTGATGATGCAATCCGCCTTCATCTCTTCCCCCATTCTCTGGCGGGGAATGCTAAGAGGTGGTTGGAGACCCAGCCCCCATTTTCCATCACCTCTTGGGACGATCTGGCTGACAAATTCGTGCACAGGTACTATCCGGCATCGAAGACTACAGAGATCTAGCGGGAGATCACCCACTTCCGCCAAGAGCCAGATGAGTCACTCCGTGATGCATGGGAGCGGTACATGGGATATTTCTGGCAGTGTCCCCATCATGGCTTTAGTGATGCATTCACAGTGGGGAACTTCTACAGTGCTCTCTCCCCAGATAGACAGAGGGTGATTGAGTCTCTATGCCCAGGAGGGGATATTCTTACTAAGACTCCACCCGAGCTGAACCAGATGATCAATACCTTGGCTGCCAGAGATCATTCTTGGGGACAGAGCAACAGAGGCAGACATTCCCGGGACCATAGTGTGCACGCCATGGAGACCAGATCCGGGCTCGAGCAGCAGGTAGCTGAGCTAGTGCAGACATTGAAGCAGCCCAACAGTCTTATTCCGGGCAGAGGTTTGGCTACACCTCCATTTGCTCAATGTCAGTGGTGTGAGAGCTCGAATCACTTAGTGGAAGACTGCCAGGCTATGAGGGAGTCTACTACTCCCCAAGAGCAGTTGGACTTCATCGCCAATGCTCGGCGCCTCGACCCGTACAGCAACACATATAATGAGGGGTGGCGCCAGCACCCCAACTTCGCCTGGAGCAGCAACACCACTAAACCACCTGGTTTCCCAGCACCAGCAGGTGGTTTTCAGCAGAGGCAGCCGTTCCAGGCTCGACAGGGGCCAGTCCCACAGCAGCAGCCCTACCAGCCTAGGCAGGGGCAACCATTCCAGCAGCCCCAGCGCCAGTTTGCCGAGCCAGCAGCAGCTCCTGCACCAGATGATCGGATGACAAATCTGGAGAATATTCCAGGTCAGCGGAACCAGGGTGCCATTTTGCAAGATCTGCAGACCCAGGTGGGCATCTTGGCCCGCCAAAACACTACCAGGACACCAGGGACTCTGCCTGCCACCACTATCCCGAATCCTCGGGATCCTCACCAGCTCCAGCAGCTGGATGCCATTTTTACCAGGAGCGGTAAGACCATATCTGCTGATCCTGTCCCGGCCAGACAGGAGGAACCACTACCTGCTTCAGCACTTCCAGCCGACGATGCAGAAATGCGGGTGGAGAAAGAAGCCCCTGCTCCCAAGCCACAACCAGTGGTTAAGGAGCATGTACCCCAGCTTCCCTTCCCCACTCGCCTACACAAAGACAAGTTGGAGACTGAGTTTGCCAATTTTATGGCAATGTTGAAGCAGCTCAACATCAGCATACCGTTTGTGGAGGCACTGTCGAAGATGCCCAAGTACGCGAAGTTCATGAAAGATCTCCTCACCAACAAGAAGAAACTTGGGGATCTCTCGACAGTGTTGCTGAGCGAGGAGTGTTCTGCTATCCTGCAGAACAAGCTGCCCGAAAAGCGCAAGGATCCAGGGAGTTTTACTATCCCTCTTACTATTGGCAGCATGCATGTAGGCAAGTCCTTGGCGGACCTAGGCGCT